CCTGTATCGTTACATATTATCTACTTATATTATATAATGTCACGTTGCTCGAGACGTGTAATCAAAAAATTATAGTTTTGTATATTAATAGACTCTAGTTGTACAATAAACTTAATTATTATCACTTCCGTTCTAGGTATATTCATATGTACATACATACATATACAACAACACACCATACAGTTAATATCTTAAAATTCCTTTATTAAAGTATGCGTTATTAAAAACCATGTATAGATCGACAATAATCAGGAAAGTAAAAAAAATCCATTATAAACGTCCGTGCGTTGCGAGATGCCCAGAAAATATCTGTGCACCGTTTGTCGACGCGCGAACGACGCTGGTTCATCCTTGTCGGTCCCGTTGTTTCTTCACTCAACCACGGACAACTGTGTATCTTTCCCCGGTTTGTCCGTACACTTGACCGCGTTACCCTGACTTTGATTCTCCGAATTCTTGAACGACGGTAGTCCTCTCAGTACCACAGGTACGTTGCAACCTCCTGCAGCTCCTGCTCCGACCAAATTTCCTCCACCTCCGCAAGTCTAGTCGTACAAGTTGTCACGTTATCGCAAGGCAACGAGGTGAAATTACACGAATAAATTACCTGTGCGTGAATAGGCGGTGCCGAGTGCACTAATCGACCGGTAAGAGAACTGGGCTTCTCCTTTTTCGTACGCACCCACTCGTGGCCCAGAACTCTTTCCAGCGTTAGCCTGAGCGTAATGTCCGGTTCTAGAATATGCTTAACTATACTCTTCGCTAATACAGACACCGTTTCCCGTACTCTCGATCGAAACATCCAGTTCCTCGATATCTGATCCTTCAGCAGTTTCTTCAAGTTGGCATCGTCGAAAGGCATGGAGGCGTTCAGCATGATGAACAGGATTATCCCCAAGGACCAGACGTCCGCCAGCTTTGGATTGTAAGGGGTGCCGGAAACGACTTCCGGCGCAGCGTAGGCCGCGGAGCCGCAATAAGTCTCGCTGAGAACGCGCCTACCGTCGTGGTCGACGCAGAATCTCGCGAAACCGAAGTCTGCCAGTTTCACGTTGAACTTCCTGGACAGGAGTATGTTCTCACATTTGAGGTCGCGATGGGCAATGTTCTTCCCGTGGAGGTAATGCAGGCCGGAAGCCATCTGCCTGAACCAAAGCTTGGATTGTTGCTCCGGCACAACACCGTTCCTCGTAACAAAGTCCAGGAGGTCACCATTGTCGGCGTAGCGCATGAATATGAACACTCTTGGACCGCGCTGCAATATACTGTGCACCTGTAATTTTTTTTTTTTTTTTGCACTCGTTATACGATATATTTCCAAGGAGTGTAATACAGTCTTCCTTGAGCGGCTGAAGGGAGAGATTTCTCTTTTTTGTTCTCGTTCTTATTGCGTGAGGAAGTCTTACTTGGATAATATGGGGATTTTCGATCTTTGTCAGGATCTCGAGTTCACGGGGAAAGAACTTGTTGAGGAAATCAAGGGGCGCTTTCTCTTTGTCGAATATCTTACAGGCTAATCGCAATTTCTTTGAGCTCGAACCGTCGACGTATTCGGCCAGGTGCACGGTTGCATACGAGCCCTAACGTTTACAAAGTTGCCTTCAGAAATGATCGTTTAAAAAGAAGAAGAAGAAGAAGAGGAAGTAAAAAGGCGAGGTACGATGTACAGTTCGTGGTATAAAGAACGTGTGTTGGTAAATCGTTCTGCGAAGGAGATGAGATTACGGGGAGAACATCAAAGGGAGCGCACGGTTGAGAATAAAATGAAAAGAAATATACGAAACAATGTTGTAGAGTGAAGAAAGTAAGAAGTGGAAGATGTTAACGAACAGGTGGGGGGGGATAAATAACCTGTCCGATTTTTTTGCCAATAAGATAGCCCCGCTGCTCAAGAGCGTTCACCTCCGAATTTCGGGGGCTGAGTCGCGTGGCCATGCCAGTGGATCTTCATTGGACTTCCGATCCTGATAACAGATAACTGGTTCTTCTTCTCCCTCTCTTCTACCTTCCTTGCACACGTTTTTCCCCTCCTTTCGGTTCTTCACACCGAGCAACTCATACTTGTGCTTACCCTGTATCGCGACAAGTTTCTCCCTCTCTTTAAGACTTCCCTCTGAACGTGATTCGATCAGAATTTTGTCGCGACAGATCTGCAGTTGGCACTCCGTTCAGGAGCAGAAATATGCCTCACAGAGTATCACATCGATGAACCCGAGTCGGGGAACCGTTCTGTCATTTCAAATAGCTGTGTGCACTAGAATTTTGAGCGTCGAGACCAGCCTGTACCTGGTACGGAACGGGGCAGAGGAAAAGATCCGTGTCTCATTCGAACACAGCCATTATATTTGAAAACAACGAACGGTCGATTCGCGAGTACGATTTCGCAACGATATCAGTTCGACTTTCAAGCATGTTCGTGTTGTATACGGAATTCGTTGGACTTGGTGAAGAATTTCTCCTCGTTCGGAAAATAAATCGACGTGCTTGGGTTTTTTTCGATTTTTTATTAAACGTAATTGTACATTGCGTATGAACGAATTACACACCCGGATCGTCACCCTTGGTAGTACGCGTGTAAATTAGCTGTGCATGGTGCTGTACAACTTGCTTAATCAGTCCTTTCTGTTGCAATTCGATCAATGCCCTCCTGGCAAGCGATCCGCGGATCTTTAACCTTTCGCTAACTATGGATGGTGTGATCAATTTGCACAGTGGTACATCCCTTATCAGTTTCTCATATGTGCTTTTGTCAAACAACACTTGATTGTTTAACTTGTCGCGTACTTTTCCCTTGGACCACTTCTGCAATAAAAGGTGGACAGATGTCAGGGATAAACTTCATTTACATCTTGATATTATTATATGATGATAACATCAGTCTCATTAAATCAGCTTTTTGCTTCCACTGTATATCAAGACAACAGGTCTTCATCATTCAATATTTTTGATGCATTAATCTGGATGTAAGACTGGGTGTAATGAAACAGCTGTAATACAAACCTTCTTTTTGGCCTTGCCACCAGATCCTCCCTCCTTCTTCTTTTGTGTTTTTTGTGGTTGCTTGGAAGATCCCTTTGTATCCTTTTTAGGCGGCTGAAATACGAAGGAAAATATAATCGAATGTTCAAAGAAATCGAGTATTGTTTAAATATTGCGCATCAACCAGGCTCGTTATATTACCATTTTTCAGTCGCGAAGTTAATCTAGAATGATTTTTTTCGCGATATTTTACTTTGAAAAGTATCTATTCATCTGCAACACATTTTACAACATTCGTAACTATTTCGATAATTTTTTTACGTGTCGACAGAATATCGAAGTAAGGAATAAGGGGTTAGGTACTGACATTGTCACGAAACCAAAACAAATTCCTATTTTTTACGGTACGTAACGATTTACACGACCTTAAGAATCTAATTACAACATACTTCACCTAAATATTATTGCGTTAGAATAAAATATTATAATTGCGTTTTGTATACACCATGTGGATAAAATCACTAGGTAAGGTTATCCACTTAGCCACGCATCAAATGCATAAGAAACTTCTGAATTTACTATAAAAATGAAAACACTGCACTACACGAAATAGAAATTCCTCTTACACTCACAACTTAACTCGAAGTAAATACGATTAAATTGAAAAGAAAACTTCTCTCTCCCGAATACTCACCATGATGGCTGTCGACTCGGAAAGAAAACGGAAGTGCGCGCGTCGCCATCTCCAATGATTATATCATTCAGTGCCCTCTAAGCTACTACTTTGATCAATACCGCTACTAAAAAAATAGTGGAAAATTTAAAAAATAATATAACTATAGGTGGATAAATTTGTTGCTGGATTAAAATTAATTCTTCCATCGTAACACCGATGAGGTAAATTAATGAAATGCTTTGCACGTGTCATGCGTAGCATCGGATCTAGCTGTCAGTCGCTCAGGAGTGGCTGTAGCGTGAGAAGCATGGCGCCACGCCGTGTGTTTTCAAGTCCCGGTTTTGCACATCTTTGACCCATTCACAAAATGTATTCGCGTTAAGAATACCTTTCGGTGTAATTAGGTCAATCACGGACGTTTATTCGTAATTAGTTTTATTCCAGAAGGTAATGTCTTCTTCGAAAGTTATACTCCATTTAGGTTAAGATACCTTTCACCATTGCGACGTGTCATTCATGTTTTTGTTCTGTACGAATTGTTACTGATAAGTGAGCAGATTGAATAGCATAATTGCCGACAACGTGGCGTCTAATTTTAGACGGTGGGTTTCATTCAAAAAACGAATTTCTGTCACTATCAATATGTGTCAATACATAAACGGGGGGTGTCGTTAATCAGCTGTATCGTAAACTACTTATATTCGACATATTTTTAACGATATAGTGTGATCGTTTTCGTCGGAGTTAGAGATTCGTATTTGAATATTTATTTTAACGTGTAAATACAATTAATTGGCATGTTCATTTAGCAAAATTATATTTTTTATGGACATATGTGAAATCTGAGTTACCAAATAAATATTCTTTTTATTTTCAGCATAAACTTCACCTGTAAAAACAGTTTTGGTGTCGGAGAAAATGCTTCCACTTTCGCACAAAGACTCGAGGAATCTTGGCAGCCGGATAAAGGAGAAGCTGTTGGGATGGAAACGTTTAATATTTTCTGATAAGAATACCAGGAATTTATTTCTCTTTCTGTTGCTAAATTTATCTTTTGCCTGCATTGAATTAGTGTATGGAATATGGACAAACAGCTTGGGTTTAATATCAGATAGTTTTCACATGTTCTTTGATTGTACCGGTTTATTATGTGGGTTAGCTGCATCTGTTGTAACAAAATGGAGGGCAAACGAACGCTACTCGTATGGCTATGTCAGAGCAGAGGTTCTAGGAGGCCTTGTCAATGCTCTACTTCTATTCTTTGTTGCTCTCTTTATTATGTCAGAGGCTGTTGAAAGAGCCATTGAACCTCCAGAAGTGAAACACGAAAGACTTCTGGTCGTGTCTGTTCTTGGATTGCTAGTTAATTTAGTAGGAATGTATGTGTTCAGACATGGGCATGGACATGGCCATGGAATGGGACATGGGCATGGTCATTCTCATTCGAGTCATGCACATTCTCACTTGAATCATAGTCACAGTCATGATCATCATGACATTGAAGTTGATCCCTCTTTCGGTGGTACAAATTCTCAGATCATGAAGGGAGTTTTCTTGCACATTCTAGCAGATACTCTTGGATCTGTAGGTGTGATCATATCAGCAGTGCTGATGCATCTGTTTGGTTGGTTCATAGCTGATCCAATTTGTTCCATGCTGATTGCAGTATTGATAGTTTTAAGTATACTGTCTTTAATGAAAGACTCATGGGAGATATTGATGCAAAGACAACCAGTTGCATTGGATCACGTTTTACCTCAGTGTTACAACAAGGTGACTCAATTGGCTGGAGTATACAGTGTACAAGATCCACACTTTTGGACACTGTGTTCGGACGTGTATGTCGGGTGTTTAAAATTAGAAGTTGCCAGAACAGTAGAGCCTAAATATGTTGTAGCACATACTCAAATGATTTTCCAAGCAGTTGGAGTTAGGCATCTAACTGTTCAGTTGGACTATGCACCTATGTGATCTCTGAAAACCATGCATGTCATAAAGTGTTCTTATAAGTGCTCCAAGACTGTATTCATCTGTGGACTTTGTCAGAAGCAAGCAAGGAACACTGCGCTAGTGCAAAACATTTTTGCCATTTTAAAATTGTACAAATGCATTGTTCTGGGTAACAGTGGATATCATCTTGGTTTACGGATTATTTAAGGAACTGTCCATGTCTTTACAGAACAAAATATCTATGAAAAAAAAAAAAACGTGACACAGGATACGGATATATTCCTAAGGATATTTCAAATTCATCGTCAAAATAGTGCATTTAAAAGTTTATATCTGTCGCGAATGAAAATCATCGAATTCATTTGTTGTAATTCTGTTGTACATGTAAATAGTAGTAGTTTGCCTGTATCTATCAACGATATACTTTTCCATCAAATTGCAATTTACCTTTGCTTACAAGAACTTGGACTCTGTACTATTTGTTGACTGAAAGTCGCAAATAATGTTTTGTATTGTCTATTAAAGTCTTTATATCAAAATGCATTTAACATTTTGAGAAATTTAAGGTGCATTAGATTACATTTTTTTACCTTTACAGTTTACTATTTACTACTTATGGTCATATGTATGTGCGCAAAATAACGAATGGCAAAGGACAATTATACCTGCACATAACTAAGGTGGCCATAATTATTTACAGACGACAGCTGTAGACAGCTAGTCATTACTATACAGAAAGTGTGAAATATATATTATATATGAATGCAACTTTATAAGATGTAATATAAATCGATATTCTTGCGTTTAAACGAACTATTATATATTTACTTGCGAAATTCTGTTGGCGTTAAGCGAATTCGTTCAATCGATCAATGAAATATTTACGAACACTTAACGCGCACAGGATGATCGTTTCACGGCGATATATTTATGAAACCGATCGTTTATAAATACCGAGTAGAAAAATGGCGAATAATATCAAAATAAATAGGAAGATTCTTTAGGAACTGGCAATAAGCTTTCCTTCGGATCACTTCAGCTAATCGATCAAAAACGAAAGAAAACAATTCATGTAGCAAGCATGATCCATAACATGTTCGTTCAGCGTTTATCATTAAAATTGTACTACATCGTTCGACAAGTGATCACCGAATTAGCGTAGACGAGAGATTTGTAAGCGTCAATTGTAAGCACAACCAGGACATTCCATTGTAGCCGAGGCATATTATTTGTATACTTGAAATTGTGATGACGTAGACCAAAATGTAGCTATGAATAGAAAGATGGATGGTTGGATAGGAATCGAGAGGGATTTTTTCACGATAACATAGAGAGAGAGAGAGAGGGGGCATTTTTTCTATCGAGAGGTACATCGAGAAACGACCGAATTATTTACAGTCGTACCCGGAGAGGTTATTTCTACTGCGAAGAGAGCGATGCAATTTCCGAGATGAAAGTTTAACACTGTTAGGTTTTATTACACACGATTGTATAAACGAACATACGGAAGAGTATATCTTCGATATCGACAGAGTGTAAATAATAAAGAGAAGTACTTATACTATTTTCTTTTTTATCGTTTTCTCGTCGACGAACGTACCTTTTTGTCGGCAATACTGTCGTCCCTTAGAAGATAGAGAACTCGCGTTTTAATTAAAGAGAGAGGAAAAAAAAAAAAGTAGAGTATTGCTTGGGCTTTGCTCTTTCGTCGAGCTCGGCTTTGCTTTCTACTTTCTCACATAGGGTTATGCACCATTTCGAATGATCAACATTTTTCAAACACATATTACATTTATTTGAAGGATATGTATACACATATAAATACATAAATATTTATAATAAAACCGCTGAAGCTGATTCCACACGGTGGAACTCAGTTTTACCGCACCGACGTCTTTTTTCTTTCTTTCATCCTTTCTGTGTGGTGCCAGCTTCAGTTTGCCACCGTTTTTAATTCGGTGTACTCTTTAAAACGGCCCCGCAAAAACTAACGGTTTTCGAGATCTCGTGATGTTCGCGATGTCTCGTGCGGTGTTTTATGTACATAGCAAACTATCAAAAATGAAAAACCCTGGGGAGGGAACAGTCGTGTGTCCCTGCGAGGCTACGCCTGGCCTATCTAAAAACTGGACGATAAAAGGGAATCGAAAAGTCCGTTTCCACGCTAAATGGTACGAAAAATCGAACGAACACCGTTGGAACTGTATTGTTACTTTTTTCTCGCGCACGTAAAGCTGAACTGTGTGAAGCCGGATCGAACTGACTCGTTGATTTGTTTCGCATAAAACTCTCCGTTCCTTCTTTTTTTCTCATTTTTTCTTACTTTTTTCATATTTTAGGTGCATGGCAGTATCGCGTTCTTTATGATTTCACTTCTGCTTCGTTTCGCGCAGCTGTTGGCAAAGAGATCGCGTTTAAAAGTCGCACCCCGTCGCGTTTCACTCTCGTTCGGCGATCGATGGATAGAAATCGTCGTGTCGCGCTTATGCTAAAAAGATTACGAACTCGTGATACAATACCGCGATAGACGATAATCACGATTAAAGTCTACGTTGCAATTTGGCAGTTGTGTGTCGCAAGTTTCTTTTTTTTCTTTTTTCTTTTTCTTAC